TGAGCTTTCTCTCCTTCCTCCATATCTTTCTAAGTTTTAATTTCTGTTTTTAGTTTTATTTTATTATGGGGAACTAACTCCCTAGCTAAGGCTAGGGAGAAAGCTTTTAATATGAGTGTGTAATTGTTATTAGTTTGATCCAAACTTAAGCTTTAATGTGAATTTGTAGTTTTTGTTCAAATGGAATTTGTAGTTTTCTTTTTAATTAATTGATGAATGTTTGATAATCTATTTCATGGGTTCAATCATGTTTTTCCCATTGTGTAGTAAAAACTTTCATGCTTTTAAAAGAGAAGAGAATTACCAAAGATTAATAGAATTTTGATGAAGATTATTTTTTGATAGTTTGTTGCCAATGGTACAAGTTATGCTTAGAATACTTCTAAAGGAAATTAAAAAGGGCTTTAATTATTTTGAACAACTACAAAGGAAAATATTTTGTGGATCAAATTATTAAGAGTTGCATGCGATGCTTATGTTAAAAGTGGAACCCCAATGCCTTAGTGTTTTAATCAATTAAATTTTCTCCAAATCAAATCTTGCATAAATCTACCTCTCAATCACAATTGTTCTTTTTCATCTCTGTTATTTTCTTTACACTGCTCTCTGTGGATACGACACTCGGACTTCCGAGCTACACTGCTATACGACATCTCCCTTGGGTTTTGCAAAGTGGTGCGAACAAATTTTTTAGATTTAAAAATACATGCTTGCTAGTCTTGCATTTACGTAACTTTCTCACATATTCTAATTAAGATGCTCAAAGGTTTTAATGAGAATAAAAGTGATGGTGATGGGCTTAACTACTAGAAAAACAGCCATTACCCATTGATTATCTAGATACAAATACATAAAAGTAGTTTTTGAAGCCCACTTGAAGCCCCTGAAATCGAGTGGGCCCCATTTGGAAGAAAGCTGTCCAAATTGCAGCCCTCCACTCACCCCGTCCATGGCTGAAATTGTGTTTAATGAACAAGAGATTGCAAATAATGAACAAGAGATTAATGCTCAAATTGTGAATAATGAAATGAGAGAAGAAGTAGTTGCACCTAGAACTTTAGAGACATTTTTGCA